AAAACATCTATCAAACTCAACAAGTACAGTCAAAAACCAAAATGGCATGGCTAAATGTTTCCCTGTCAAAGAGGCATCAGACAAGGGGATGGCATTAGCCCTCTCCTTTTTTAATATATTCGTGAAACGATATTAAATCACACATTGAATCTGGCAAAAATGACCCACCAATGCTACTAAACATTAGGCTCTCTTGCTTACTTTATGCTGATGACTTGGTTCTTTTGTCAGAAACAAGTAGTGGTTTACAAAACGCTATTAACGATCTACAGGATTACTGCAAACAATGGAAGCTACATATAAACATTTCTAAATCTAAATCAATGATCTTCAATAAATCAGGCAAGCTTCTAAATAATTTCAAATTCCAAATCAATGGCTCTGAATTAGAGAGAGTTTCAGCATATCTTGGAATGAAACTAAATTTAACAGGGAAATTTGATGTAGCACAACAGGATCTGAAAAATAGGGCACTGAAGGCATGTTTCAAAATTAAACAGCTACTATATTCAGAAACATTAATCCCAATTAAAATATACTTAAAAATGTTTGACTCAATGATCAAACCAATTCTTTTATACTGTTGTGAAATTTGGGCGGGTGACATTGTGAATAATAAAAAATACTTTATGAATCTCATGTCACCCATGGAAAAAATGCACATTAAATATTGCAAATTCCTACTCAAGGTCAATAGTAGAGCAACAAACATTGCATGCTTAATTGAATTAGGGAGATATCCATTAATTATCACTGGCATCAAACAAATGTTAAAATATTGGCTTAGAATTAAAAAAATGCCTGATAATACACTAATATATGATGCGTACAAGCTTGGCATCACTCTAGACAATTCTGGCACTCAAAACTGGGTATCCAGCATAAAAAATTGCCTAGAGTATACAAGCATGGAAAGTGCATGGAGTGATAAAAACATAGAAGATAACTTTATTGAACAAATAACTGACAAACTAATAACCAAATTTAAAGTACATGCCAGGAACACTCTAAACAACGATAATAAAGGCATCAACCACAAAAAT